GTCTGCGTACAGAGGAAAATGGTGGTCACTTTGAATCTACCATGATGATATCTTTTAGTTTGTTGATCGTTATTATTCATATTTTATTCCATTTCTTATTATCATTCTTGACTCATTTGGAAAACTATCTTAACTCGTTTTACTGACTGTTATTATTCAGTTTGTAATTGTTGAGTTGTTTTTTCGAATTCTCTCTGCATTTATTGTTTAGTACACATAGTGATGTAACCTGGCCATAATCCATTTTTATCCTAATTTTAATTTCACATCACTTTAGCCTTCTCTATCTGAGCTTGATCTGTGAAACATTCACACTTTTCGTTTTGTTATTAGTGATTCATTGTCGGTTATTTACTTATCAATCAAGTGTCTCAATGTATTATATCACTGTCAAGTGGGTTCTTCTACATACTTTAGAGACTTGAGATTCACCCGACAAACCATTTTGAAAAGGCTGGACACTTTAATCAACAGCAACCTTCTCTGAGGAGTGACATCGCGCTTCAGGCCTTCGAGGAGAATCTGGATGGGAAACGATAAGTTTGACTCATCCTAGGGTGATGTCGAGGAAATCATTTGAGTAGGAGGTAAAAGCTTATGGGCAATCGTGGAGCCAATTGAGGGGAGTTGAGGAGAGTGAGACCAAATAGAGATGTGCAGTTGGAAGCCCTGTGTTCCACTGGGAACCTAAGAGGTGTAAATAATAACACTAAAAATAATATCGGGTATTCAGCTGAAGAGTTCTATGGAGACTTAGTGAATTCATTAAATCTGCTGCTTTTAATAATACTGCGTAGACTAAGTGGTGCTCAGGAGGAACAAACACGAGGGAACCAGTTAGGCTTTAGGCCAGGAAGAGGGTGTATTGATCATATCTTCACCCTTCGACAGATTCTACAACATAGGCTTACTTACCGTCGGTGTCCAACAATCGTTATATTTCTTGACCTAAAGGCGGAATTCGATTCTGTCGACCGAGAGGTACTCTGGCGTTACGTGACTGTAAAGGGAATGCCGAGGAAATACATTGCACTGATCCAAAGCACTCTACTCGTACTCATGCAGCCAGGTGAGGGCTTACGGCGAGTTGTCATGTGAACTGGTAACAACTAGTGGTGTCCGTAAGGGATGCCCATTATCCCCATTTCTATTCAATTTCATCATAGACTTACTAATGGATTTAACCCTAACTCACCTCAGAGACTCAAGGATTGACTTGCTACCAGGAAATAATCTCGCTGACTTAGAATATGCAGACGATATAGTCCTTTTAGTCAAGGACGCTGTCAAAATGCTGAGTCTTCTGAACATCTTGAGCTGCAATCTACGAATGCTTGGCATGCGATTCGCTCCCGCCAAATGCAAGATGATGTTACAGGACTGGACTACATCGACGCCTAGATTAAAAATAGGAAGTGAAGTGGTAGAGCACATTGATCGCTTCACTTATTTGGGAAGTACCGTCAGCCAGTGCCGACGGGTTGATCTTTGACGAAATCTCAGTACGGATACAGAGTGCTAGTTTCGCATATGCCAGTATACGCCGTCTATGGCGTAGGCGTGATATCTGACTATCGACCGAAGGGCGTGTGTACTGCTTAGCAGTCCTCTCCGTCCTCCTCTATGGCTGTGAGACCTGGTCATTGAGAGTGGAAGACATGAAAAGGCCAGCTAGCTGTCTTTGATCATAGGTGCCTGCGTTCTTAAGGCGAGCAATATTAAGGTTAGGCGTCGAGTGCTAAGTGAGTGGGAGGTGGGAGGGGAAATCAACCGACGAGGTTGTGAAGTTACATAAATTGAGAGAGATGGTTAGCAAGTGTGTTCCGCGTGCGTGGACTAGTCATCGATCGCCTTCCCCGGTAACGGACAATGTTAGCTGACTGTCATAGCATCGATCAGGTTGGAAAAGAGTTAGCTAGTGGTGATGGTCAAACCAAAATATGGCTTCATCATCAGTCAATAAAATGAATCTACAACAGTTAGTTTAAGCTAGCCATCATTCCAGCCACGTAGGAGGGAGGTGTAGACTTCGTGACTGACTTCCATATTAGTTTGTTTATTAGATGTATCACACAGTGAAACAGTATTGTATACTGGATAACGTTTCGAACACAATTTATTGTTCATAATCATATCAATTGAGGTCACACGACTTTGAAATTTGAGTCTCAAAAACTCAAATCTCTAAGTCGTGTGACCACTGTGTGATACATCTAATAAACAAACTAATATGGAATTACTTACTACCACAGTGCCCAAGTTTTACACATATATTTCGTGAGTGACTGGTTGGGGTTCTCCAATGGTGGCAGCTGAAGACAATTGGTGATATGGCTCAAAGTGGTCATTGTCAATGGATGCATTGTCAATGCATTCACTCCTTGTTATTTACGATATCCAATAAAATTCTATTGTTCTTGCATATTACTGTTGTTTTTGCCTCACATTCCTGTTTTTTATATCTCTCCCTTTTGAATCTGTCATTACTCTCTTCTGTTGCCTTGTGTGCAACATTAAGGGAGAGTGGCAAATCGAAGTGCTGCACATCTGTGCAAAGTTGTACTTTGCAACCAGTCAGTCAGTCTTCTGGTTGTAACCAAGCCATAGTGTAACAAAATATAAGGACGATAGGTTACCATCTTAAAGTATTGCTATCTGTATTTATAATAGGGGTGGAGTCACTCGTCAAAAAATAATTTGTTAGCGTGTCGATGAGTCAGTGGTAACTGTATAATCATAGATGATAAAATGCAGTATGTGGAAGTCATAAGATTGGAGAATCAAAGTCGAATAAAGGGAGATGATCTCATAGTGAGTAGAGTTCATACGGGCAAGAAACGAAGTCTAGTACGAAAGTCAAGCGAAAATAGTGATAAAATTAGAAGTCAAAGTGTCATATAGAAGGAGTTAGGAGAGCAATTGAAATCCATCTAAAATTCCCAATGTTCTATGCATCCTATGTATTATTCTGTATATGACTGATTGTTTTGCTACTTGACATTTAACTGTGCTTATAATCACAAGCATTGTAATTACGTTTCATACTATTATTATTTCATGTGTTCACACTTTTGATCCAATTCCCTCACCGGATATAATTTCTTAAAAACCATAAATATACGATTGTACAACTTGATGCTAAATTCGATGAAAAGAGTCTCTTCGCTGAATCACTTGTTTTGATTTTCTAAAAGCGATTGAAGTCCCACAACTTGTTGCTTTTGGCCACGTAGATAAAGTTTCAGCCGTTCTGTTGCGATAACCTCAGCAAGCTGAAGACAACTTGGGTTGCCTAGTCTGCTATCTACTTTGAATTCTTATAACGTTGAGGGAGATCACTTCTTCCACTCATATAGACAGCAACGTTTCCAATGAAGACTGACGGCATGGATGAGGAGTTCGATGTAGTTGTGTTTTCCCTGAGCTGAATGTTTTATTTGCGAAGCTTTCATTGCCCTACTCGGGAACATCTTCAGCGCTTATTCAATTTGAAGTGAGGTGTTAAATTTCTCCACGAGTTTATTAGTCATTTTGCCTAGTAGGGCAATGAGAGCTTCGTATATAAACCATCCAGGTCAGAGAACACATTTACATCAAAATCATCCACCTGAACTATAAATCTTCTCTATCATGATTGAGAATGTCAAAACTATTCAGTCAGGATTAGAAAAGTAAGATATATTCGTCATCATTCCGAAATCAGTGCGTAAATCGTCTCCACTCAACTGCAGCATTAAAAAGAAAATTCAATTCGGATTTTCTTCAACATCAATCTAGTCAATGCTTCTTCTCCTATATAGGTGGGTGAGAAACGTGCACTGCGTGTGAGTCACAAAGCACATTTCCAACAGCCTTTTTCGGCCCCTCATCGACAACCGCCATGTCTGACTGCGTATGGAAGATCAGATGGTGGGAATGGATTATCAAGGAACTCAGGGAACAATCCAATGAGGAAGCTGTGAGTGAAGAAATATTGTGAATAGAATGGATATGGTGAGGAGAGCGTTGAGTGGAGTATCTGTGCAGGTGGTTAAGTGGCATGTGAGTGGGAGACACGACGAGTTTGTGTGGATTCCGATGGTAACATGGAGGATATCGTGTGAGGAGGAGGATGAGAGACTATTGCCAATCGTAGGGCTAGCTATGTAGGGCAGGAGGTGTAGACTTCCTGACTGGTTGGGGTCCTCGGGACCGTAAAATCCAATGAAAGCTAGAGGCAATTGGTGATATGGCTCAAAATCGTTCTCAATGGCTGGCGCAGATGCATCAACTCCTTGTGACTTATGATGCCCAATGAAACTATTACTATTCTTTTTGTTTCATATCTATTGTTATTTTGCACAGAGGGTGTGTGGCAACGACTTGTACTGCTGCATATCGGTGCAAAGTTCTATGTTGAACCGAGTCAATCAGTCAGTCCTGCTTTATCTATTAACACTTGTTGCTGGTTTTAAACACAAAATCTGTTTTTCTTCCTATGTGTGTATGCTTACATGAGCAGTATTCCAGCACCACTGAATTGCTTGCATCATCATACTACATATATTCAAAATGCCTATTATTATTATTGTTAATTATACAATATAATGTCAAAATGTGTGCAGTGTATTGATGATTCTGAATAAAGAATTTGATGTGATAAACTGTAATGATGAAGCTTATTTAAAGAAGGCGGTTTACTGATGGTGGTGGAATACTGTCCAGCAGCTGCCACACCCTACTTGGTCGGGGGTTTGATCCCCAATCGTAGTTGTATACTCCTAAACCTCGCTTAACGCCAGTAATAGTAGTGTTAGTAGTAGACTCTGGAAAGAAGAGAAAGTTGGGCGTGAGTTCACCCTTCCCCGTACTTGTAAAAAGAAGAAACTTGAAAGTTCGAAGCCCCATGTTCGTGTCCGAACGCAAAAGAAATAAAATGAGTAGTTGTAATGATAATAATAATCAATAAAAGTAACGTCACGATTCTTCTTCTTCTCTTGTTTTCCTTGATTTTCCTAAAGGTTAAATGGGTCCCATCAGAGATATCCTTTGAAGATCGGTTTGATAAATATTTGGATTATGAATTCTTTGGACATAAAGTAAGAAAGAAGTGGTCACGTTGCTTTACATATTTTATCTATATAATATGTATGGTGGTATTTACTCAAAGTTATTGCATTTTTTGTTTGTTGTTGTTCTCGTGGTTGTTATTTTGTCACTTAAGGTCAACAAAAGGAATTAATTGTTGTTGATACGATACATAATAAAAGAGAATCAATAAACTGTGATTATTATTATTGCTTCATTGACTAACCTGTCTTACATATTTTATATGCTAGTCTGAACCAACAGCACAACACGAATTGTGTATATTCCTGTATATATATGTGACATACCGTAATAACTTACTAATCTGATATAATTATGTTTGGATTATAGATTCCATTTCTAATTAATATCCTGGTAAATCTTACTAACCCCTGTCTATCAGTTTTAGTTAGATTCTCTCAATCCTCCTTTATATAGTGTTGTGAGATAAGACCAACGAATGTGGAAGACATAGAAAGACTAGTCTCGTCTTCGACCACATGAACATTTACACTCTATCTCCCGTGTTATGTGGTGGTATAATAAAAAAGGGGGGGATGATATTGAAGTTAGGTGTAGAGTGTTAGGTAAGTCAGTCAATGGATGAGATTTGTGAAACTACACATCGATTGACAGAGATGGTTAGGACACCATGTGTGTTGCATACACGATCCCGAGCCATCAGCTTCCTTGTTAAGCAGTGTGTTAGCCGACAGAGGAAAACCAAGCATCAATTCATGCAGTCTACAACAGTTATAGTTGGTTTGAGCCATATGAGTACGGTAGGGTAGGGTGGTGTATGCTAGTTGGTGGACACATCCTTGAGACTGTTAAGAACCAATGATGTGGAGAGGTATTCATTCTGTGTATTCTCCCAGATCCATTCTACCCTCGTGTTTCTTCTTGTTACTATTCTTTCTCGCCTACATTTTTGTTCATTAGAAGAGCTCTTGTGAATCTTTTCTCTATCTATCTCTCTCTTTCTTTTGTGTACCTTTATCTGCTGCATGAAATATGATAACTTGAATTACTCGCACTTCTTTGCAAATTTCTGTGCTGGAACTCACTTACGGTTGATTCCTACAACAACGGTTTATATATATATATTGACTACAGCTTGATTCCTCCAAAGCCTTAGTATGGTCGGGGGTGGGTGTCTTGCGCTGCGGGTTGGCCACCCCTCCGCACACCTCTTGAAATGCTCCCATATGACCGTGCGTCTTACATAGCCTCTCCTGAGGAAGTCCTACTCACTGCCTTCACGTGGCGGAGGTGTTTGTCACTAAAGTGAGAGGGCAAAAGCGGATGCCCGGCGCTCTTCACCGGGTTGACTGTCCATTGGATGACAGTCTAGGGGAGATGGCTAAACCCTGATTCCAAACCTCCAACGACTGGCGTATGAAGCTCACAGGCAGACGTATGGACAAAGGGCTTGTTGGATGTCCTGGATGTCTGGCCCCATTCAAAAAGGCGTATGAACCGAACTCCGGTCACCGGCTGCCAATGGATAGTGGACTCCTTACTCCACTCCTACTGCCTTGTAGGTCACACTTGGCTGTGTAAAGGCTAGAGCTGCACTCTCAAACAAAAGGCCGAGCGATGCTGGGGACATCACTCGTACCAAATTCCCATGAAACTTCATGAACTCTCCTACAAACAACTCTCACCATGCTACGGCGTTCCCGGTAAGCGACGCGCCCTGTGCTCACCCGGTGGCCAGTGTGAAAAGTAAGCCAGCTGGGAAATTAACACTTAGAAACCAACTATTTGTTGGCTGCTGGAATGTTAGGACGCTGTTGGATCCTGGTAGCCAGTCTATCACCATGCGTTCTTTATACAACTACAAGGTGGACATAGCGTGTCTATCTGAAGTGAGGTTACCCGATCATGGCTCCCGCCGAATAGCCGTACCTGGAACAGATTCTTCATTCTGGTTGCTTCATAGTGGACCCCAGAATAATTCGGGACAACATGGGGTAGCATTTGCTCTCAGTAACAAAGCCAATAATGCCCTAATATCATTCGAACCGGTCAACTCCAGAGTTGCAGTCGCTAGGTTCAAGGGTTCCCCGCTCGACATTTCTGTTCTCGCTGTCTATGCCCCAACCCTCGACTCTGATGAAAGTATCAAAGACGAATTTTATGACAATCTTCAAGAGGCAATCAACAAAATCCCAAAGCGTGACGTTCTCATAGTAGCCGGCGATTGGAACGCCCGCACTGGCCCTTCAGACGACGCGACAAAACATATACTAGGCAAACACGGTCTCGATCAGCGCTGCCGTAATGGTGATAGACTTTTAGCTTTTTCTGATTACAATCGATTATATATCACCAACACTCGATTTCAACACCCTAGAAAACATCTTCTCACCTGGTATTCGAACGACGGTCGCACTGCACATCAGATCGACTACATCCTAGTGCGCTCACGCTGGATCTCCTCGGTGGAAGACTGTCGATCCTATCGTGGAGCAGAGGCCGGAAATAAAGGGGGATCAGACCATACTCTAGTTAGGGCGAAATTCAAACTTCGTTTAACAACACGCCAGAAGGCGCGACCTCCGAAGCGTATCAATGTTGCCCCGCTTCAATGTTCGACAAAGCGACAAGCCTTGTCCAAACAAATCCAGGCCGAACTAAGCGCCGCAGATGAACCAACATCCACATCTTCTAATACACCTGAGACACGATGGAATCATTTCAAAGAAGTAGTCTCTAAAGCTTCAATGTCGCATTTGGGTACCACATCCAAGAAGCAGAAAGACTGGATTTCAGAGCACACCATGCTTCTATCCTCGCAAGCCAGAGACGCTCGCCTAGCAAAGTCTCCAGTTTATCGCTCCCTCAGGCGCAAAGCTACACAGTCTGCTAGGAATGACAGAAATCGCTATTGGTCTAACGTGGCGACTAACATGGAAGCAGCATCAAATGTAGGCGATTTCGGAAAACTTTATCGCCTCATACGCCTATCATCTGGCAAACGCCTTAACAGTCATGCTGTGTTACGCACAGCATCAGGAGAAATTATTTCGGACACCAATGGTAAGATGGAACGATGGGCCGAACATTTCAAGCAGCTACTCAATCGCAACGCTGGTCAACCGTCTCACTTACCAACACCCCACGTAGTTGACTGCGATCCACCCACTCCAACCGAAATAGCTAAAACAATTAACAGACTCAGAAACAAAAAAGCTCCGGGCGAAGATGGTCTACCCCCAGAAATATACAAGGCCTGCACTCCAGCGCTAATCGATTCGCTGCACTCGCTGTTCTGCTCAATTTGGGAGTCCGAAACCATTCCTTCCGATTGGAGCACCTCAGTTCTGCTACCGTTCCACAAAAAGGGAGACAGGTCAATATGCGAGAACCACGGAATGTGGCGACTTGAACTTCCGCACATTTGTGCAAAGTTCTATGTCGAAAACAGACAGAGAGACAGATGCGAGAACTACCGAGGCATAAGTCTGATTGATATCGCTGCCAAGGTTTTTGTTTCCATTCTTCTGAACCGCTTCGCGGCCGAACGCCACGTGCGAACAAGGCCAAATCAAGACGGATTTCGACCTGGGAGAGGCTGTGTTGATCAATTATTCACACTGCGAAGAATTCTGGAACACAGGGACAAATTCCAATAGTCGACGGTTGCTTGCTTCATCGACTTCCAAGCGGCATTCGACTCAGTTGATCGAGGAGTACTCTGGTATCTAATGGAGCTCGACGGAATTCTGACCAAGCTAATCAACCTGCTCAGGTCATACTACTCCAACACCAAAGCTCGAGTCCGAGTGAACGGTGAAGAGTCTCGCACTTTTGAGGTAACCAGCGGTGTCCGGCAAGGTTGTCCAGCATCCCCCATACTGTTCAATTTCACAGTTGATTGGATTTTGTGGCACGCCCTAACCGAGCACCACGGCGTCCAGCTTTCGCCCGATATCCACATAACCGACCTCGAATTCGCCGACGACGTCGTGCTGTTAGCTGAAAACTTCCCCGATATGCAACAGGCGCTCGACCAGATAAACCACCTCGCGCCTACTATCGGTTTGAAAATTAACACTTCCAAAACCAAAATGTTTTCGAACACATCCCCCAGCAATGATGAAATCTTATCCCTAAATGGAGCACCTATTGAAATTGTGCCATCCTTCAGATATCTGGGATCCATAATGCTCCCCAACGGCCAAGCGAAAAACGAAGTGAATGCGCGAATCTCCAACGCCCGGAATGCGTTTCTACAGCTGAGGAGCGTTCTATGGAGCAAGAGAGAAATCAGTCTCAGGACTAAAATTCGGGTCTACCAAGCTTCCATACAACCCGTTCTCCTGTATGGCTGTGAAACCTGGCCTCTTCGCGCGGAAGATTTACGCAGACTCGAGGTAGTAGACCATTGGTGTCTCAGGTACATTCTGCATGTTCGTTGGCAGGACAAACTCTCCAACGAAGAAGTGCGTCGTCGTTGCTACAACATCAACCAAATTCCAGTACTGGTCCAACAACGCCGCCTTCGGTGGTTTGGCCATGTTCTGCGCCGACCAGATGACGATCTGGTCAAATCAGTTCTAAATCCCTCGCCATTTCCATCTTGGCGATGTCGCAGGGGTGGGCAGCTGAAAACATGGCTTGGTACAGTCAAGGCTGATATGGAGTGCCTGTGGCTACAAACCGTCTACGGACTCCGTATGTGAAACAAGAATTGAATAACCCTGTCGCAAAACCTTGCATCAGATACTTTACTTTACTTCGGCAATCTCCTACAGGAGGGTGAGCCGGCTTAATGAACGTCTCGAATCATCGCTGCCCAGGCGCGGTGATAGGAAGCAAGGTTTTGCGATAGGGATATCCAATTCTTGTTTCACATACGGAGTCCGTAGACGGTTTGTAACCACAGGCACTCCATATCAGCCTTGACTGTACCAAGCCATGTTTTCAGCTGCCCACCCCTGCGACATCGCCAAGATGGAAATGGCGAGGGATTTAGAACTGATTTGACCAGATCGTCATCTGG